AGGGGTGGAAGTAACGAATTACAAATACACACGTTACTGTAATTAAGTAGATTTTTTGGGTACTTGTACTTTTATGAGTATTTTTTTCAAGTGTGTAATTTTACTCCTACTTGAGTACAATTTACACCATGTAATCTACTTCTCTACTTTTAAAATCATAAGTCGCTACTGAGTACGCCCACAATTTGAATTAATATTCAAACCTTTCATCTGCATCTTTGTAGCCAATAAGGCTGTCTGATCGCGACCGCGCCAATTAATCTATGATCTAAGGAAAGGACAACTCAGCTGCAGCAGGCACAGGTGTCTGGCGGTAACATACCTACACAGCGGAGTAGAGACTATTTTATGGACTGAAGATTTGGAGACAAAGAAGCCAAGGGTGAGTGTCCATGCGCTCCGCGCAAATCCCGTGAGCTCCGCGCCGCAACATAACGGCTTACTGGCGAGTCCGACTCCAGGTCCAGTAATTTCCTCTTTCGTTGGCGTCATGACTGCCCAGTAGTACCTGGTCAACCGATGCACACAGGCACACAGGTAGGCCTATGTGGCGTGTCAGAGGAGAAACGAACCGTTCACATTTCTCTCTCTGTGTCAGTAACAGCCCACAAACCTCACCGCACTTTAGGGACTGTTCTTTACTTATGAAGGGACCGTCAGGGGAGGAGGGTGGCTGGTTGATTTTTATTTTTTTAATTTATTTTATTTTATTTTATTTTGATCCCCCCTAAGTTAATCACTTATTGATGCTGTTTGTCTGAATAAGTCAATAAGTAATTTATTCCATTGAAATATCATTGATGTATTATAGAAAAGTGATTTATCTGACAAAAGGCACATCTGCCTCATTTTTGCTATGGTATCGTACAGTGGGTCCCAATTTTGGTACTGTGACAAGATGTCACAACCATTCCATTCGGAGTTGTGCAGTGAGGCGGCTTGGGTGCCGCTTAAAAAAGTGCTGCTCTCTCAGAGGCCCAAAGTGTTCCCCTACTTCTAATTTTACAAATTAAGCACTGGTTATTAGTTTGGCTAAGATAAGTCTGCAAAGATATTGTCACTGCCATTGGTTTGCCTGATATTAAAATAAGACGGAGCTAGCTAACGTGTGCACGTGCCTGCATGCATAATTAAGCTACAATTCTTAGAAATGTTTTAGCTTAATATTTGGACAACCACCGTCATTACAATAAATTAAATCTGTAGTCATTTAATACTCACAGGCCTGCATTCAGCAGGCCTATATTTTGTGCTAGAGTGACGCTATATTATATGAAACATTAACCATGAAAATTAACCATGTCATGTTAGCTTGTCGGTAAGGGGGGTAAATAGTGCTCCAAATTCAGGCTAACGTTTAGCATGGCAAACAGGGCACAAGCAAGAGGTCCCTTGTTCTCTTACTTCAAGATACCTGAATGAAGATGTTTTTGTATGATAAGCGTTACCCCTTTACAGACACATCCACTTCACTCTAATCCCTTGCAGTTTTGTGCAAAACCCACGCGGTTATTTTGCGTGCAGTATTTATGTAATTTCACCTATTCTATTTTATTTTTCCTGCATATTGGGGTCCTTAAACAGTATTACAGTTGGATAAATTGGGGCTGACTCGAAAGCTGTGACTCTTGTGGAGTCAGTGAGCCCCATGTATTCATGTGTGTGCCATGTGTTTACACCCTGGCCTCATAATAGGCATATCATTGCAGTAATTTCACTGTATAAGGTGAGCTGTTTTTGATATTTTATACAGGTGAATCGAATCGAATGCCTGCTATTGACGACACAATAAAACATCTATCAGTTAAAAGTAATTAATACTCTGAGTAGTTTTTGAGAAGAGTACTTTGTACTTTTACTTAAGTATTTTTTAAACACCAGTACTTTTACTTGTAATTGAGTACAATTTAAGCAATGTAACAGTACTTGTACTTGAGTACAAATTTTCAGTACTCTTTCCACCTCGGCTGACTGCACTGTTTGCGCCACATGAGTTAAAGTCTGCGCCTATGGTGACTGCAAAGAATACGCAGCACCACTTACCCAATTTTGAGAGCCGCCACAGAAGAAGCTGTAGAAGTGGTACAATGGTGTGCTGAAAGAACAGGGGAAGAAGAAAGGAAGGTCATAACTATGAAGTAGATGGTGAAGAACACAGAAGCAGATCTAGTTGATGATTTCCAAGATCGTCTTTACAAATTCCGTAAGAATCTATTTAACATCAGATGCCAATATACTGCTTACAGACAACTGCGCGAAAGCCTCCAAGCCAACGAGTGCATGATACACATCGACTTCAATGAGAATTACTCTGCAAGTCAGTGCATTTTGGGGGATCTCACCAGCAGGCCATCCTGCACACCGGTGTACTGTACACCAGTGACCAGACACCAGTTTCATTCTGTTCAATCTCTCCCTCACGACGACATGACCCACCAGTGATCTGGGCCCACCTAGATCCTGTCCTGAAGATGGTGAAGACCAGATATCCACAGGTGGAGACATTTCACTTTTACAGTGATGGCCCTGCCACACAGTATAAACAAAAGCGCAACTCCTACCTCTTGTCTACCGAGCCATTCAGGCATGGTTTCAAAGCCAGCCACGGGAAGGGAGCTCCCGACGGAATCAGAGGGACACTGAAGCGGGCAGCTCACCGGATTGTGCGCTTGGGGGACGATGTTCTGGATGCCTTCACACTATTCCAAAAACTCAAGGCACTGGATTCGACAGTGGAGCTCTTCTTTGTCACTGAGGATAAAGTTGAAACAAAGACAGACGTGAAGATCTGTTTCTCACACACTAATCTCTCAAGACAGTAGAATCTGTCGGCAGCCCTGTGTGAAAGACGACTAGAGAGAGGGGGAGGGCGGGGCTTTGAGTCTGAACGATGCTGCGCTTTAGCCAATCACAATGGAGGGGGCGCAGCCAAGACATGCAGGTGTCCCCAGGAAATGTGTACCTACACAAACAGCAAGCTCCACGTCCATAGCGACCGCTCCAGTAATGCCGTCTCGTCAACGTGAAAAAAATATTTTTTCCAGCGGATGTCTTAGTTACAACATGGTTGAGCTAACTGGAGTAGTTTCATGTCGTATCCAACAACGGGAGGCTTTTAACAGATGACGTCCTGATGTTAGCTTTGCTAACTGTCCCTGTCAGCTGCAGCCACTGATGCTTTCTAGACATCGTGATTTCCCATAACTGAATAAATACCACACATATCAACACAATACTGCTTTGTTAGTTCAATCATGTTGTAACTAAGATATTTTCTGGAAATATTATTTTTTTCACGGACTGTTTATTTAGTTATTACCTTATTTTTATACAGTCTATGGTTATAGACAACGCTAACAGCTAACGTTAACAGCTAATGGTTAGCCCAGCTAATCTACGATAACCATATTAATTACGTGCACACAGAAATAGTAACGTTTGTTCAGTCATTGTGTTTATAGACTTAACAAACATCAGATTAGTCTACACAGTGATATAGTGACGTGAAAAATGTGATATATAGCTAAACTCTGCTGGTTTAGTATTTGTAAACAACATGGCGATTCCCTGGGGGCACCGCCGGAAGTGAAGGGCGTGAAGCCCCTTCACTTCCAGTTAGTCAAAAAACTCCGGGCTGTGCCTCTAGAGGTAAAGGAAGAAAAATTTTCTTTTTTCTTTTTACCGATGGATTTCCAGATTGCTCACACACAGACTTGCACTCACACTTGCACTCACACTTGCGCACACACACACACACACACACACACACACACACACAAGCACACATCACACTCACAGCCTCCTTTGTTGTCACTTCTCAGCCTTTTGTGGCTCTCTATGCATTGATTGTTGTGTTTGGTAGAATATCTTATCCTATTTCATATCTATTCTCACCTCAGGTCCCTGCTCTGACTTCTATTAAAGGCACAATGAGGATGCACCAGGTAATCAGCCTCATACCTGGGCAGATAAAGTACTGGGACATTACTTGTTTCTGTCAAAGGCTGAATAGTCGACTGGATTGTGCCTGCTTTGGCCTTAATCGTTGCAGCTTTACTTCCTTATATATATATATATATCATAGTTTCATGAAATAAAAATATTTTAACTATGTATTTGTAGTGACATAGTGATATGAAGGGGTTTGATTGTACATGCTAGAAATGTTTAGTAATTTGCATCATAATTCACTTTTGTTATGAAATTAATTGGAGGAATATGTTCCATGATCATAATACACACTTGTTTTTCTAAATAAAAGCTTATTTAAAATAACCTGATTGTAAAATAAACTATCTGACTAAAGTGAGGGGCAGAGGTAGAGGGAGGAGTGGTTCATGACACACTTTGTTTTGCTCTACAGGCAGTGCACAACAGCGAACCTAGCGGTGGAACGATTTCACTTATTGCTCCTTTAACCACAGGGCATCATGATGATTTCGGAACAGTGGGTTTAATATGGTCGGAACAATGGGATGTCGGACCAATGGGCAGTTCCACTGACCACACGGGCTTTCCTTTCGTTTCCTTCGTTTCAACTGCTGCGTCTGCTTGTGCTTCTGCTAAAGCACTCCCACTCACCTCCATCTCTCTCTCCAGTAATTCGCCGGCACCGGCCGCTTGTTCTGGGTCAATTCCACGTAAGATTTCCGAGATTTACCCTTTTGCTTTCCATTTAGCAGAAAACTTTTTTTTTTTTTTAACTCAGTAACGGATGTGATTTCAAATGTAGCAAAGTACAATACTTCAGTCAAAATTTACTTGAGTAAAAGTAAAATTACAGATTTCAAAAACTACTTTAAAAATTACAAATTACACAAAAAAACTACTCAATTACGGTAACGTGAGTAAATGTAATTAGTTACTTTCCACCTCTGCATAAAAGATTACCTGTTCAACAAAAACGCAGCTGTTGTGGCATCATTTCTAAGACCCAGTGAAGCCCGGAGCTGCCTCCAGCGCTGAAAAGCCCCTATGTTTACTTGTGTTTGTCCTCTGGTCTGATCCAACTTTCTTTTGTAAGGAAAATGCTCAACTTTCCTTTCCTTCCTTTCTTGGTTGTTTGGGCAAGCAGAGGCGGACGAAGTGTGTTTCTTCCGTCCATGGCTGCACTGGCTGAAGTTTTCTCTGTGTTGCGCAGTTGGGGGAAGCCACACCACTTGTTTGAGTGTTGAGAGGCGTAGCACGAGGTTGGAAGGGAGGACGCTGAGGGAGAACAGGGAGGAGACGGAAGCAAGGGGGTGGGCAAACTTGACCGAGGCGATACGCCCATCTGGCCGGCGATACTTGGATTGGTTAGATTCTTAGCAAGCCTGTGACTGCCAGGGAGGGTGGATTTTTTGGTTCCTTTTGCTGTTTGTAACACATAGGGAGTACTTTTCAGTCATAAACACCATCATATTGAAGATAATTATTATGACATATGTTAGAAATCGTAGACTCCAGGTTTAACCTGTGCTTGATACTGCTTGGACGATTGTAACATTCTATGAGTCCTTGATACAGTTGATTGTTGAGTTGTATAATTGTTGTTTAATTCATTATAAGTCACATAAGTAGTGTTTTATGACTGTTGATATAGTACATCAGTAAGCATTGTGTGTATAGCCATAAAGCATTATAAATGCATTACAATTCACTATGAATGCCCTCATAATGCATTATAGATGTGGTTTTCATAGAAAGTGTTACCAAAAAAATCAGTTTTACATGCAATCTTCATTGCTCTAGATATGGACATGGGGAGACTTAACTTACTTCTCACATTTGACCATATTTTTAAAGTTGTTTTCACTCACTGATTACGTAATTTGTTGTCTCTCCAGACATTTTTATTCATAAATGGGATTGTGTCTAAGTGCACTCTTGGACAGTCGCTCTGTTTCATTCCTATCCATATTCACTGCTCAAAAAATTAAGGGAACACTTAATCATCACAGTATAACACCAAGTCAGTTAAACCTCAGAGATATCAATCCGTCCATTAAGGAAGCACAGGTAATTGTGAATCAGTTTCACCTGCTTGGGTGCAAATGAAAGTGACATGTTCAATGGAGAGGCAAATACCAGGACAACCAACAAAAACGCAGTGGTTTTACATGTGGTGGCCACAGACAGTTGCTTTCTCCTCATCCTTCCTGACTGATTCTTCTCTAGGTTTGTCTTCTGCTAGTGTCCTTGTCACTACTGGTAGCATAAGGTGGTACCTGCAGCCCAATCTGGTTGCACAGGTATTCCAGCTCCTCCAGTATTGTACATCCATATGGGTGATCACAAGGAGGTTTGCTGTGTCTCCCAGCACAGTCTCAAGAGCACTGAGGATATACCAGGAGACTGGCTGTTACACGAGGAGAGCTGGAAAGGGCCGTTGAAGGGCATCAGCCCAGCAGCAGGACCAGTATCTGCTCCTTTGTGCGAGGAGGAACAGGAAGAGCACTGCCAGAGCCCTACAAAATGACCTGCAGCAGGCTATTTGTGTGCGTGTTTCTGACTTAACTGTCATAAACAGACTTCATAAGGATAGCATGAGGACCGCTGTTACATCATTTTGTTCTCAACAAATTATACAATCATCATCGACACCCGTGATGTGTGTAAGTGAAACCAAAAGAAATAACCAAATGAAATACCACAAAACTTTTAATACAAAACACAAACATTAACAGTTACTTTTAAACTTTTGTCTTCTCTTTAATCTCAACAGTCAGAATCCTACCTGATAAATGTGGATTCACCAGCATGTGCAAACTACTACAGAAGTTCAGTGTCTTCCAGAGGTCCACTGTGAGGACAGAAACCAGCCTCAGTCTCATCAAAATGTAGGACAGATTCCCAGACAGTGTGAGTTTTGTCTCTTGGGTTCCACAAGGAAGAGAATCCTTTGCAATGTGGGGGGAAAACCTGACACAGGTTCTGAGCCCATTTTTCATTTCCCCAAACTCTCAGTGAGCAGGATTAACATGCATGTCTGCAGAGTGTTTACGCCACAGCAGGGATAAAATACTGCAGTGACACGTCTTCATGCAGCAGAATCAGGTGGACGACCCTCTCATGGACGATATCTGAGGGGAGAAGATGAATGGAAATACGATTTAACCAGTGATGGAACATATTGTCAAATCTTTTATTTAGGTAAATAAACAAATTGATCAGCTAGAGGTGCATTCACTTTTTAAAACTGCCACTTTTCAGTTTGTTTCTAATGTAAAACCACAATAATGACATTTGATGAGAAATAGACATTTTCATTTTCAAATTATTTTTCAAAGGAAACATGACACTAATTAAAATTACAGCACAGAAGATCTATACAATCAGCACATTTTCAAGATTGTCACCAATTCAGTAACTGACCAAATGTCTCCCCTTCTGTTCATGAGATATGATGTTGAATAATGGCCAGAAAATTGTTTTGCAGAATATTATGATGTCACAGTGAAGTTGACCATTGAAATTTGGATATGTCATCACTACATCATTATATTCTTTTAGACATTTGTGTGAAATTTTGTCATAATTGGTGTATGAATTCTTGAATTATGGGAAAAACATGTTTTGTGAGGTCACAGTGACCTTTGACCTTCAACCACTAATATCTAGTCAGTTCATTCTTGAGCTGAAGTGTATGATTTTGCCAAATTTGAAAAAAATTCCTTAAGGCAATGTTAAGGTGTCATGTTCAAGATAATAAGACAGACCAAAGGTCAAAGTGACCTTGACCTTCGACAACCAAAGTCTAATCAGTTCTTGACTCAAACCTGTGCCAAAACTGAAAAAAAAAAAATTATCAAGGTTTTTTTGAGATATTATATTTATGAGAATCTGAAAATCAGAAACCATACTGGGTCTCATTCATGAAATGTTAGTAAATCTGTGAGTAGTTTTGCACATAAAAAACGTTACTAAAAACCTTCACCGGGTACATGAACCCCGCAAGAAACTGGGATTTCATTGTAGTTACATGTGTATGTTCATGAATGCCAGTAAATAGTATCAATATCAATAGTAAACTGACAAAGTGCTCCCGCTTGTCAGCAATTAGCATACATCCCTGCCCATGAATACCCAGTGACCACCATATAAGGAGGTGATAATTACTATGGATAGGTGCATCCTGTCGACCTGCAAACATGAAGCAAACAAAGACAGAGAGAGAGAAAAAAAAGCTGTTCTGACATTGAATCATCAGTGAGACCTCTCTGTCAGGGGAGAAAGCAACATGCCTCCGCTGGAGCAGTTAAAGTGCAACTAGCAGGTTAATTTTTTAAAAAATATATACATAACCTTGTCTGAAAATTACCATATGAGAAGTTAATTCAGAATTTATTATGGTTTACACGACATAAGGGCACAAATTCAGAGGAAAAAGTGGCTCTTTTTAGCTCCTCTTCTAAAAACGTTTTTTTTCAACATCGCCTGATACTACGTCACGAGAGGGACTCTGCGTCCTTAACCCTGCCTCTGTCCAATGCGCAGTAGTAGGTGGTAGTGAGTCTGAGCGGTAGTAAACTTGTGAGTTAGTCTTTTTTCGGTTGTTAACAGTGCATTTCACCATTTGTGATTATGCTGAATTACTGTGTTTGTGCAGATTGCACAAAATTGGGTCTGTCAGGACATCGAGTCCACTGTTTTCCGGACAGAAAAGGGAGTGGAGTTAGTTTTCGTGCCTGGGTGCGTTTTGTGCAGGTGAAGAGGCGTGATTTCACGGCTTCATCTGTGACAAAAAATGCAGTTGTGTGCAGCGCTCATTTTGAACAGGAGGATTATGTTCCTGGCGGAGCCCGGGGGTATGTGCGTGGGCGGGCGGTCTCCGTGGAGAGGGAGGCCTCCATGTTTGAGACGGGAGCAGGCGGCGTGAGGGTTGATGGGCAGTGTGAGGCATGTTATGTCTGGTCTGGGGGTCAGATTCTCCACCAGAGCCCAGAAGACATCCACCTCCCTGCAGCACATACTCTCCACAGCTGAGGATATGGGCTGGCAGTTCCCACACAAGCACCTATCATACAAAACATTATCAGGAAATCTTCGTATCTCTCTCTCTGTCCCTCTCTCCCCTGCAGATGTCAATACACCGTAATGCAGAGTTATAACACGCATAGCAAGATATGTCTGATACAAGCTGATATTTGCGCATTAGTTTCTGTTATGGGTAAGTAGCATTAGTTATATACTGGCACAACTATTGGTAGCTTTGTTATAACCTAATACGTGATGGCAAACTTAATGTTGTGATGTGAACACAGCTTTAGACATTGTTAGCTGTTGTTAGCTAACGCTGGTCTCTCACCAAGACACCTGCCCAGTTCTCCACTGGTTCTCTTCACACCACAGCTCTATTTCTCTCCTGTGGCCGTTATTTCTCCTAACCCTGATCTGTTCCTGGTCTCTTGGACACCTAGCAGGCTCATAATTATAGGCCTGTGGGCCGTCATATGCATATGAATGTACATTTTCAACCCCTTCAGTCTCAAAACTAGTACTGGGATCCATGTTTATTAATGTTACACTCAGTCGGCCGGACTCCCTTACGCTACGTCACTTCCGGTTAGTGGGCTTTTAGATGCAGAAGCAAAATTATCTCACAAAAACAACCCCAAAAGCCACTGTAGTGTGTATATGTTTTTGTTTTTTGTTTTAATCGAGTTTCTACATCACTTCCCTACACATTTATTCACCATGGTCTCCAACCTGTAAGTTGGGCTTTAACAGCAAACTCAGAAGGTACAGTGATGGCATGTGCACAGACAGACCCCAGGTGGTGCTCAAGCACCTGCCCTCTTGCCCTCTATTTTCTCTAATTCTTTTTAATGATTTCCTATTTTAGTTTTTAAATTTGGCCCATGGCATCACTTCTTAATTATAAGTGTGTTGTTTGCCCTACAACTGCATTTGAGTCAAGCCCCTGCTCCTTCCTCTTCAGCTTCCTTTGTGGCGACAGCACGCAAATCAAGCACCCTGCAGCATCATGTCTCCCTCATCTGCCATCATGGACAGCCCGGTAACAATAGTGTTTGGCCTAAGCCTTGGCATTCTTTCTCTCTTTTGTGAAATTAAGCCACTATTGAAACATCTTCATACAGCCAGTCTAATTTAGGCAATAACCCACAGTTAAGTTTAACAACAACATAGTCTGGTGTAAAATCATACCATCTCCCTCCAACTCTCTAGCAGATTCGGGTTCACAAGCTGCCCAGTGTGAGCGGAGACAGATGCCAAATTGCCTTCCCACGTCCACAAGTCTTTTTAAACCAAAACTCAATGAAATAATGTTTACGTCTCCCATGTCACATCCTGATAATTAATTTAAACAAAAATGACATGCAGTTTGGGGCTGTGGTGCATAAAGAGGGCAGAGGATGAGAGGAGGAGCGCGTTGGTTTGTTATTTCTTTTATTCAGAGAATAGCATTTTCCAATTTGGTATTAAGTCGATTTAAATAACTCATTCACGTTTTTAAGAACCCTAATCTGAAGCTTAAATCAGCTAATTGCCAACTACTTCAATTAAATGTATTATATCACTAATCTTTTGTCATGTTTAACTTGCATGTTTCAAAGGCGTCTACAATTTTAATTTGTACTGTGCTCTGTTATGGTCACAATATGCAATTTCTAATAATGACAAACAATATCTTTGTACAATATCTTATTAACATAAGCACTACGAGCAGTCAGAAGCAGGTGTAGATTTTGTTAGTACCTACAAAAAGATCATAGCGACTCACATATTGATGAACACCGAAGACACATCAACTACACACAAATTCGATCTGCTCACATTTCATGAATGAGACCCAAGGCCTCTGGGCATGGCTGCTGCCAGCGAAAATGCTTATAAAAGGATACTGGATTTAAAAAAAAAAAAAAAAAAAAATCATGTGCACACAAATGTTCTCCATTGTAACAGCAGCCACTGAGAAGGAGGGTTGGGTCGGTATGAGAAAAAAAAAAAAACAGTCCGGTTTTTGTAAAAAACAGCATCAAGTCGGTAATACTGGATTTTCGCCACTTGGGGGTGCAATTGACTCATTTAAAATAAAAAACGACCTTAGGACAACAGAGTGACAGTAACAAGTTGTTTCTTTTATTCCTTACAAATAAATTTTGCAGCTTACTCAATCAGTGCAAACAAGGGTTGCCTCCTTCATCTGGCTCAAAGCCAAAGTGTTGCCATAGTGGCGCATTCCTTGATTTCGTCAAGACTAAATTGTCCGCCATTATCGACTCCCCGTCACTATTAAACAAACTCCAGGCTACAGTAGAGGCGCATGTGCACTCGCACCTCCAAGCTCAGTCCCCGCTCCACCCCCCTCTCTCTCCTGCTTGCTGTGCGCTTGGTGAAGAGGCAGACACAGGTGCTCACAGACTCGGGCTTACTATAAGCGTAGCGGACTACGTGTAAAAATGTCCGTGAAAAATCCCCGCGATGTGAAAAATACATGCCAAACAGTCTTTTGTGTGACACTGGTGTGCGGAGCGAAGTCCGCGCGGTCGTGCTTTGCGCGCACAGGGCTTGCGGACGTCCACTTTTACTGGGCGGACCTCTTTGTCGTCCTCTCTGTGTATGTTCTGCCCGAGTATGTGGTTCGGTCGGTCTCAAAAAATAAAACCCGGTCCAAGACGGAGTACCGGACCGAATTGGTATTACCGAGAACCGACCCAACCCTACTGAAAAGCATGACAAGATAAAGATGTTCCACTGCATTTCACTCTTTTCGGCCATGGGTTGACTTACTGCACATGGCCTTGCTGGGGTTGACCTGCTGTCCCATGAGGAACTGCTGCAGCTTCCTGATGTCCACTCTGGCCTGGGCCATGGCCTCTGGGTCCCTGCTCTGAGACGGACCACCGTCTTGGGAGGCGTCATCACCTGGAGGGATGAAGGGAGATGAGTGGTAGACAAAACGAGACAGGGAGGAGGAAGAGAAATGGTGAAGGGGCTGGGGCCTGAACCAAAATCTGAACCAAAGTGAGCTCCTCTATCAGCTATTTTTACATTTAACCTGCTGATCTTGCAACAAAGGGGAGGGGATTATATCATCATCACACAAAGCTGTGTTCAGATCAACAGCCAAAAGGTATAACTGCAGCTGGAGCCGCTACACGACCCACCCTCTGGCAATATGACTAACCCACCTTTTTTTTTTTTTTTAAATTCCATAATATTTTACCCCATTTCCAAAACAAGTTTAAAATGGATAGGCCAATATAGCAATACAGCCATACATTATTAAACTTGCACTTCCCAGGCATTTGCAGATAAGCAAATTGCTAACGCTTGCTAACTTCACTTGCTCATTAGACATTGCTACCACCAACTAGTTGCATATGCCAATAGGCCAGACCAATAAATTTGCAAAACAATCATAAATATAGCCGCAAGTGTCAATGCCGGGGTTCAAGCCAGCATGGAAGTGTAAATCTTTAGAGCTAAGTAGATTAAAAAACTTTGACAGTTTAGGATACCTGCATTAAAAATTACCAACAGGTTTTATGACAATCAGACAGATGCTCATTCATTAATGTCCAAATCTTTATTGGGCCACACTCTTCTTTGGCAGCACTGTCGCTACCTATTGATCAACTGCAGAAACATTTTGGGGACAGTCTTTAATGGCTTAATTAAAAAAGTTCACCAAGTTTGGTGATGTTTGAAAAAACCCTCATTGATTTATAGCCGAATTTTGCGAAAGGCCATTGCACTTATTTAGACTCACAAGTCAGGCTTTAGACACTTTGCTTAACTACAGTCTGATGACTTTCTCCCAGATTTTGTGTTTAGATGGGTTGATACAATTTCAGAGTTTAAAAAAACTATAGAGGGAATCGCCTTGTTTTTTACAAATACTTCCGGGTAGAAAACCAGCAGAGCTTTTAGCTATATATATAGCCTATATATCACATTTTTCACATCACTGTATCACCGTATGGACTAATCCGATGTTTGTAAAGTCTATAAACACAATGATTGAACAAACATTACTATTTCTGTGTGCACATTTATCTGGGCTAACCGTTAGCTGTTAGCCCTGTTAGCTGTTAGCAGTGTCTGTAATAGATAATAACTCATTAAATGGTCTGTGAAAAAAAAAATCTTTTCCAGCGGATATCTTAGTTACAACATGATTGAGCTAGCAAAGCAGTTTTGTGTTGCTATGTGTGGTATTTATTCAGTTTTAGGAAATCACGATGTCTAGAGGAGGAGGAATTTCAGTCAGGATTTAGAGTGCATCATAGCACTGAGACAGCTCTAGTTAAAATTACAAATGACCTTCTGATTGCTTCAGACAAAGGACTCGTCTCTGTTCTTGTTTTATTAGATCTTAGTGCGGCGTTTGACACAATTGACCATCAAATTCTACTGCAGAGACTGGATCACTTAATTGGCCTAAAAGGTTCAGCACTAAGCTGGTTTAAATCTTATTTATCTGATCGTTTTCAATTTGTTGACGTTCGTAATGAATCATCCTTACGTACCAAAGTTTGTTTTGGAGTTCCGCAAGGTTCTGTGCTCGGACCAATCCTATTTACTCTATATATGCTTCCTTTAGGTAACATCATTAGAAATCACTCTATAAATTTCCATTGTTATGCGGATGATACACAGTTGTATTTATCGATGAAGCCAGAAGAAAGTAATCAATTAACTAAACTCCATAACTGCCTTAAAGACATAAAAAATTGGATGAGCACCAATTTCCTGATGTTAAATTCAGACAAAACTGAAGTTATTGTTCTTGGCCCCAAACAACTCAGAGACTCTTTATCTGATGACATAGTTTCTCTAGATGGCATTGCTCTGGCCTCTAGCACTACCGTAAGAAACCTCGGAGTAATATTTGATCAAGATTTGTCTTTTAATTCTCATTTAAAGCAAACCTCACGGACTGCATTTTTTCATCTGCGTAATATTGCGAAAATTAGGCCTATCCTGACCCGAAAAGATGCAGAAAAATTGGTCCACGCTTTTGTTACCTCAAGGCTGGATTACTGTAACTCTCTATTATCAGGTAGCTCTAGTAAGTCCTTAAAAACTCTCCAGCTAATTCAGAATGCAGCAGCACGTGTACTAACAGGAACTAAGAAACGAGATCATATTTCTCCTGTTTTAGCTTCTCTGCACTGGCTCCCTGTAAAATCCAGAATTGAATTTAAAATCCTACTGTTAACTTATAAAGCTCTAAATGGTCAAGCTCCGTCATATCTTAGAGAGCTCATAGTGCCATATTATCCCACCAGAACACTGCGCTCTGAGAACGCAGGGTTACTCGTGGTCCCTAAAGTCTCCAAAAGTAGATCAGGAGCCAGAGCCTTCAGCTATCAGGCTCCTCTCCTGTGGAATCATCTTCCTGTTACGGTCCGGGAGGCAGACACCGTCTCCACATTTAAGACTAGACTTAAGACTTTCCTCTTTGATAAAGCTTATAGTTAGGGCTGGCTCAGGCTTGCCCTGTACCAGCCCCTAGTTAGGCTGACTTAGGCCTAGTCTGCCGGAGGACCCCCTATAATACACCGGGCTCCCTCTCTCTCCCTCTCTCTCTCTCTCTCTCTCTCTCTCTCTCTCTCTCTCACTCTCATCCTATTACTGCATCTTGCTAACTCGGCCATTCTGGATGTCACTAACTCGGCTTCTTCTCCGGAGCCTTTGTGCTCCACTGTCTCTCAGATTAACTCATATCGCAGCGGTGCCTGGACAGCGTGACGTGTGTGGTTGTGCTGCTGCCGTGGTCCTGCCAGATGCCTCCTGCTGCTGCTGCCATCATTAGTCATTAGTCATACTTCTACTGTTATTATACACATATGACTATTGTCACACATGTATACTGCCAGATATTAATACATACTTTCAACATATTGTACCACAGTAGCCAGAACTATAACTATAATATTATTACTTTCATTAATGTTTTTGTAAGCTACTGTCATTACCTGCATCTCTCTCTCTCTCTCTCTCTCTCTCTCTCTCTCTCTCTCTCTCTGTCTCATTGTGTCACATGGATTACTGTTAATTTATTATGCTGATCTGTTCTGTACGACATCTATTGCACGTCTGTCCGTCCTGGAAGAGGGATCCCTCCTCAGTTGCTCTTCCTGAGGTTTCTACCATTTTTTTTCCCCGTTAAAGGGGGTTTTTTTGGGGGGAGTTTTTCCTTATCCGCTGTGAGGGTCTTAAGGACAGAGGGATGTCGTATGCTGTAAAGCCCTGTGAGGCAAATTGTGATTTGTGATATTGGGCTTTATAAATAAAATTGATTGGTTGATTGATTGATAGAACGCATCAGTGGCTGCAGCTGACAGGGACAGCTAACAGCAGCAGCAAAGGTAACAGGTCGTCATCTGTTAAAAGCCTCCCGTTGTCGGATACGACATGAAACTACTCCAGTTTGCTCAATAATGTTGTAACTAAGACATCCGCTGGAAAAAATATTTTCTTCATGGATGAGCACACGTTTGATAAAACGGAGTTAAATCTCTCCGCATCCATTTTCAAGCTCTCTGTGTGTTTGTTTCCTTGCGGACGAGAAAAGGAGGAGCGCACATTTCCGAGAAGGCGTGTCCTTTTCAAAAATGCAAGAGACGTTGCTTTGTTGCCGGTGTCCCCAGACTATCAGAAGGCGGAGATCTCTGATTGTCTGGTGGCGAGACTAGCACTTATTTGAAACTTGTGGCGCCCCCTATTGACCAATTTCAGAATAATACACGTGTTTCATAATTATTAGTTAACATACCCTGCAAGTTTTGTCATGATTAGACAATCAATTTCTGATTTTTAGTCTGATTTGTGTTATTGCATGCCCATTTTTTGTATCTGTGGTGCACCCTACTGGTCAATTTGAATGAAACTTTCAGGATATGCGCCTTGAGCCTCTTAAGACATTGCTTGCAAGGTTTGTGATGATTGGTCCAAACGTTGTGGAGTCATTTGCTGAGCCACGCCCCCTTTAAAGTTCATTGGTGAATATCTTCAAAAGGCAATGAGATATCAATAACAGTTAAAGCGTTGGTTATAAAATTCTGAAAATAATTGCAAATCATTCTGCTAATTTAAAGTATATTGTCAAATATTTTGGTGACATTTGGTTAAAAATTATACGAAATAGAAAATGTTGTGCATACAGTACAAATTACAACAAGATAATGAATATCACTGTGAGCTAACAGTTTAACCGATCTGAACACCATTTAAAACATGTGACATCTAGTATTCAAAGAATGTTTGTGCCAATGGTAATTGCATTTAGATGAAGACTTTTGGAGATATAGATGTTAATTAATTTTGCATATTCTAACAATGTAGAGTGACGGACTTCTGAATTGACTATAGGTTGCAGCGCGGCACAGTTTTGTCAGAATTCAGTGGATGTGCTGAAAAACTTTCAGCTGTGGAGGACACACTGGTGATTCATTATGATTTTTTGAAGTATGGAATGTGAAATGTCTTGAAATTTAGGTTTAACGTAATAAGCCACGCCCCTTTAAGCAATCATTATCAAATTTTGTACATCATTTGAGACATGACCCTAGCCTGAGTGTCAGACTGAAGCTGCCAGAACCTTCAGTCTGACATCGCCTCCACTGAAGGCGATTTACAAGGGGGAGGGAATTTGATTTTTCCCTAACCAATCAGTAGAGATCAACGACTCACCCAGAATCTGACGTCATTAGTATCCATGCCTCGGGGGTGCCGAAAACAAGCGAGCATTGCCCGTTTAAAATGTCTCCGTCGTCGTGACGTGCACGCCCAGATGCATCGCCGTTAAATCCAGTTTAGCAGTTTCCTTAATTTGGTCCTCCATTAACGCGAGTAGTGGCGAAATACCTCAATAGCATCGTTAATGTGGTCTGTAGGCTCTGTAGCAGTCGCCATTGTTGCTATCCTCACCAGTTACCCACCGGCGCACAGCTTGACATCAGCGTGGCGCTGATTGGTTAATCGCTAGACCCGCCCCCACCCCCAGCGTTCATTGGTCCTTCCATCGTTTGGACAAGATAAATCGCAAATTCATTGAAGTATGCCAGACCAGAGATGCAAGCCTACTCAGTTGAGTGGGCGGGGTCTATGGTCTGGAACCAGGCTAACATGACCCTTGATGAGGCAAACTAAGTTTCATACAAATATCTCTGGCTGATTATGAGATATCAACTTTTTGCTTGTGTAGCGCCCCTTATTCGTTGATTTGAATCAAACTTTCCTGGTATGATACATCTGACGACATTTCCTACAGGTTATGTGACAGTTGACTCAACGGTTAAGGAGTAAAAGCCATGTATGTGCTGAGCCACGCCCCCTCTAAAGTTCATTGGTCAATATCATCAAAACGTAATGACAGATCAAAAAGTCTTTCATAACTGCGGCTGTGGCTCAGTGGTAGAGCATCCACCGATCAAAAGATCAGCAGTTCAATCCCCAGCTCCTCCAGTCTGCATGTCAAAGTATCCTTGAGCCCGATGGCTGTTCCATCGGTGTGTGAGTGTGTTAAAACTGAGTAGCAGGTGGCACCTTGTATGGTGCCTTGGCCACCAGTATGAATGTGTGTGTAAATGGGTGAATGTGACTCAAAGTGTAAAAAGCGCTCTGAGTAGTCGGTTGACTAGAAAGCCGCTACAAAAATGCAGGTCCATTTTAACGTTTACAAAGCTTCATCCCATGCTGATTCATAGAATGGTTGGTACAAATCGGACCTATGCCTTAGGTGGAGATATCAAAAGGTGTTTTTCACAAAATTCAATATGGTGGACAATACGTATACTGGGCGGATCTTTAAGATTTTGTAAGCTTCCATAGAACTCCTTCACCAGACCATTATTTTCAAGTTTCATGTCAATCTGACATATGGTGCGAGGGTGGTGGCTTTTCAAAACCAAATTTTCCTTGACCTTAATTATTTTATTACATTATAATTTAACATTAGCTCTCCATCTGTAGTTACTGTCACCAGCATCATTTAGAGATTTACCACACTGACAGTGAATATTAATGTATCTTATGTGACTCAAATCTCAGTGTGAAAGTCATGTTTAACGGGAACTGCCCATTGGTCCGACAGCCCATTGGTCCAACATCTCATTGTTCCGACCATATTAAACCCATTGTTCCAAAGTCCTGTTGTTCCGAAATCATCATGATGCCCTGTGGTTAAGGTCTGGTTAGGTTTAGGCACAAAAACCACTTAGTTAGGGTTAGGAAAAGATCATGGTGTGGGTTAAAATGAAAAAGAAAGTGGCAAACACATAAGCCGTGAGCCTGCGTCGCCTCAATTCTTTCCTAGCTGACCCAGAGCCGGTCACGGCGCACCATCAAGGCAGAAATACACCCACCGGGAGCCGTTCAGCACCGCAGAGAGCTCCCCACACAACCCGGACCCCAAAGTTAATAACAGGAGGTTATGGAGTTTCATTCTCTCCACTCTATGACACTTGTATCTCGACCAGTAGCCTACTTTTGTTGCGTTTGCTGATCCTCTATGGTACACAAATACAGTATAGCCTGGTATAATCACATATCAGAACAACGGGACGTCGGAGTAATGGAATGTTGGAGCAATGGGCTGTCGGACCAATGACATGGACCCTGTTTAACCTGCTACACAGCAGCTTTCCCGTTTCTCTCCTAATGTGACGGCACATTTCTTTCTCCCAAAAGAGCACGCAGTCTTGGTGATGACACGATGCTGGTCTGGTTTATGAGTATCATGAGACACTAGTGACATTTCAACTGTCACACAGCGAAGCACTAGTGTTCCAGCTGAAACCGGAGTTCGCCCTTTTTCTTGCTGTGTTTTGCTTTTTTTTTTGTGCCGCCTTGTGCTGCCCTCTCTTCCTCACCATGCAGAGAGGGGTTAACACACCTGTGGTTGATCACTCATCAAGGACATGGTAGTTAAAAACCTGAAGAAGTGAATAGTCAGAGCCAGTGTGGCAGCTAAGGTGCTATGTGTTGGATTGCAGATTGAAAACACTCCAGTTGCAGTGCACCAGAGTCTGTGAACTTAACTCTCCTCTGGAGGGAGGGTGGTGAACTTTTGTTCAACTCTGATCTTAAGTTATTCAATCAGTTAATCAGTAAACAGTAATTTAGTATCTTTCTCTCTTTTTTTTAAAGAAAGTGTTTTTTGTTAACTCTCTGGAGGATTATTTCGTGCACCTTCCTGTTTTTGTAAATAAATCCTAACTTTTGTTTGTGCACCACATTTCTGCTTACATTTTCCCCTTTTTTCAGTGTTACTTCCCTCATCCCCTAAGCCTGATCAGGGAACGCAACAACCAAATTTTAAATTAGTAATACAAGGAACATATTTTGCATTATGTTAGATGAGTTTTGGGATTTTAATGAACATATTTTAAGCAATAGCCAAAAGTGTATATTCAAAACTTTTCCAAAACATTCTGTTAATTGCAAACCATTTCCAGGCCTGGAAAACAGTTTCTCTAATTTCACCAGGGGGACTGTATAATTAATCCCGAGGGGAACATGAACATCAAAGCCACATTTTTATCACATCCATCCAACAGAAAATGCACAATGACATTTCACTTAAAACTGGATGTTAACTTTATGGTGGTGCTAAAGGAAAAGTCAGAGGATCACTAAAGTCTGTGGGATTCTTCCTCTGGGGAACATACAGTAAATGTCTGCAGTAAATTTACTCTCATTCTCAAACTGGACCAAAGGGTTGGTGTGACAGACTGACATTGCCACATGGCAAAAACTAACAAACAAAGAGAAAAAGACACAGGTGACAGTAACATTGTTTTACCCCATGGAGGGTTTCCAAGGTCTTTGAAGTGAGTGGTGACAGAGACCAGATCAGTCTCGATCTTCAGGTTCATCTCTCCGTTCAGGTTGGCCTCCATTACCTGATACATGCACACAAACTTTAATTTACATTCAACCAACTGAAACTTTTTAATTAGGTTATACTCAGCATGTCAGTTAAGAGAACATTTTAATCAATGTTCTGACAAATTCAAAAGATGATTCCAATTTAATAAAATTTGTGTATTATTTCAACAGTTTTGTCCATCATTTCTGTAATAATAACATTATTCTCACCAAGTTAATATTTCAGTGAGCTGCTAAAACACAGCAGGAAAAAAAACTTTAAAGACTCACTTCAAAATAAACTGACGTCAGTCCAGTTGGGATTTAAAGAATTACTTCAACCCGTAAATGATTATTTGTAAATCAACAACTTACCCCGTGTTAAATAGAATTTGTGAAGAAAACTTTGTTTTTCTCGCATGCCTCCACGGTGAATGATAAATCCAGCAACAGAGAAAATTCTTGATGAATTGAAGTCACAAGGCTCTGCTTTTAACAGCATCTGTTTAAAAACACTCACACAACTCACGCAGTATAATCCAAGTCTCATTTATCCAGTTGTATGCTCAGTGTTTCCCAAGTATACAAACATTTCTGACAGGAAAGTGAACAGAAAGTGAAACCTATCTTTGCTCTTGTCAAAAGCCAGACTCCATTGATAAAAATAACAATTTTATATTGCTGAACACATGAGCTGCTGGTCTACTGCTGCCTCAATCAAACATTGTGTGACTTTGGCATTTTAAAGAGTTAGTTTGGATTCACCAAAATCACATAATAAAACAAACTAACTGATCGAAGCAGTGGTAGACCAGCAGCTCCAGTGTTCATCGAGGTAAAAAGCAAGTCTGGCTTTGAAGAGAGCATAGATAAGTTTCACTTTCAGCTCAGTTACCCACTGAAAAGGTCTGTCTGTTTGTGAAGTACTGAGCATGTGACTGGATGGATGAGACTTGGATTATACTGCTCACGTTGTGTCAGAGTTTGTGAACAGATGTTCTGATACAGTTTTGCTGTTGTTAAACACAGTTGCCTATGACTCCAAGTCATCAAGAATTCTTTTTGTTTTTCGATTCCCCGGTCACCATGAAGGCATGCAAGAAAAAAAGTTTCCTTCATGAATTCAAGATAACATCGGGTGAGTAGTTGATATACAAAAGTCAATCACTGACCAGCAGATGGAATATTAAAACCAGCCCACCTCCACAGAAAAAAAACCTGTCTGAATGGGGCTTTAAATAAGATGCAGGTAATCTTATAAAAAAAACAAAGAATAAAGTAATCTCCATTCACTTGGTCTCGTGACAAGTTGTGGTGCTTTCCATTTCTAAACCATGACGTGATTTTAGGTTTAATTAAGGCCTCTAAACTCCAGATTCAAGAAAATGTTAATACTTTTCCTTGTTTTAAATTTGCATGGATAATTTTTTTTAGGTTTGAGAACACCCTAAATTGCCAAACCTTAACCTGAGTGAAGTTTGAAGTAATATGATGCTACCAGGAAGTTGGAGAGGTTCTTCATTCTGTCCACAACGTTCTTAATTGTCTTTAGAGGAGGCAGGTAGATACTGACCTGCAAGAACATACATAACATCATAGAACATGTCGAAGATGCCTTCATGTGACTTGTAATGAAAGACTAATTTAAGAGGAACTGTCCTATAAAAACCAATAATGTCTCTAGTGTTTGGTTAGATGTGTGCTGCTCTGTATAGAAATGCTACTTACATCGAAGTCTGGCATGCTTGGTTCTTTGAACTCGTGCCAGAGTCTCCGGGGGATGATGTCAACCGGGACATCATGAGTGACGACTCGACTGATACTGGACAGGGTGGGCTGGACAGGATATCACTCGGTTAGTCTTGACAAAGCTCCTCTGGATCCTCACTCTTCACTACATATATTGTTTCAGCATCAACACTGTGATGTGTGCATGCAGAATGTGTAATGTCAAGTCATGCAAATTACCTCAAAAATGTCATGCTACAACTCCTCGAGCAAGGGTCTCACTTGCCAATGCTAATGTTACTGGCCAGTCTTCCCCTTTAAGACGGGTTATGTATGTATGTGACGCAGTCTGGTGGCGTTTGGTATGTGTGTATGTGTGTATGTATGTGTGTGGAAAAGTACTGTAACCAGACCAGAGTTACTGATTAACGAGTGAATCTGTTAACTGGTGACTTTCAGCTGAATGCGTCTATGGTTGTTCTAGTGATGGCAGCTGTTGAAAACAGGAAGAGAATACTTAGCTGTCCGCGTGAGTGCCTCTGTGTTTAGTTTTTTTATTTCAGTGTCAATAATTTAATTTTAATTTTGTACAAAACATGTACAATTAAAATTTATAATACCAAAAATTTGCCTCTTTACAATCAGTGCAGCATCTGGCGCCCTCTGTCCTTAGACGATTCCGATCAAGAACCCCCCTGCCCCCAAAAAATGTAAAAACTTTTAGCAGAACACAACTTTCTTTGATTTGCCCTAGTACATTACTTAGTGTGGTGGTGTGCATATTACTGCATGATACTTTCATTTTCAAACCTTTATTTAGTCTCGAAGGACATTGAGGTTTCCCTCATTTCCAATGTCGTCGAGATTACAGACACATTTGAACCACAGCACAATAAAAACAGTACAGAATAATCACTGTGAACAACAATCTCATCAGTGACCAGGTAGATAGAATAGAATCAGGTAAAACAGTTGCAATGTGAAACACAATGGTTAGAAATCAAAGTCCTGAACTCTGAAAGAGAAGGAAGAACATGAATTTTTAGAGAGTGTTGGAGGATGTTCCATGAGCTTGGAGCATCAAAAGAAAAAGCTGTTTTACCAAGTTCAGTACATGCTCGAGGAACTTTAAGAAGTAGCAGATCGGTAGAGCAGGTTGTATAGCTACCAGCATTCCACACTAACAAGGTTGAGATGTAAGGTGGTAATTTTCCAACGAGGGCCTTGAAGATATATAAAAGCCAATGTTTGTTGCGCCTCTCTTCCAGAGAAGGCCAACCAACCTTCTCATACAGAACACAATGATGTGTTCTGTACCCGTCACCAGTAATAAATCTAAGAGCAGAGTGATATACACTGTCCAAAGGCTTTAGAACTGAAGCTGCAGCATGTCTGTAAATTACATCACCATAATCAATGACAGGTAACAACACAGCTTCAACAACTCTTTTCCTACAGAATAAAGGAAAGCTGGATTTGTTTCTGTACAAAAAAACGATCTTTTGTCGCATTTTAGTGACAAGGTTGTTTACGTGGTGTTTGAATGTTAAATCCTCGTCTATCCATACGCCAAGATATTTATATTCAGTGACTCTTCCAATTCTAGAGCCTTCTATAGTAACCAAATTCAAAGTTTCATGGTTAACATTTCTGGCTCTGGAGTACAGCATGTACTTTGTTTTTGTTACGTTTAAAAGAAGTTTATGATTTAAAAGAGATTTTTGAAGCTCATTAAAAGCAAGTTGCAAATTGTTGATAGCGAGCTGTACAGAGTCTGCAATACAATAAACAACGGTGTCATCCGCGTACAAATGGGCATGGCGACCACTTAAAGAGGACACAATATCATTAATATAAATAGAGAAGAGTACAGGGCCCAAAATGGAGCCTTGTGGCACGCCCTTATTGATAAACAAGAAGTCTGATTTGGTGTCACCTGATTTAATACACTGACGCCTCTCAGATAAATAGTCATGAAACCAGGCACATGCACTTTCACTCAGTCCTATGTTGAACAGTTTACTTAACAGTATGTTGTGATCAACTGTATCGAAGGCCTTGGACAGATCTACAAAAACTGCTGCACAGTGTTACTTCTTGTCCAGTGCTGATATGATGTGATTTGTGACTGATACTGCTGAGTTTTCATGTTTACAGTCTCACCAGCTCGGCGGCGATGGTAAGGCATGGGCAGTGCTTCTTGGTCAGTTTAACTTTGACGGCCTTGGCGCTCTGGACCGTCTTCAGGGCTCTGGACAGGTTCTCTGGAGTCACCTCCAGACAGATCTCATTGTCTTCTGAGGACACGCCCTCCATCTGGTACTCATCGAAGAAGTTGGCCTACAGGGAGCAAGGACACACTGACAGGATCGGCTGGAAGAGTAAAGGCTCACTTTGCACAAATCATAAAACATGAAGATGTCAGTGAAGTTGACCTTTGACCTTTTCAATATAAAATTTCATCACCTCATAATTTTATCCTATTAGACATTTTTGTGATATTTTGTCATAAGTAGTAAATTAATTCTTGAGTTACGGCCCAAAACATGTGTTGTGAAGTCACACTGACCTGCAGTAATATCCTTGACTCAGAGTGGATGTTCGTGCCAAAATTGAAAAAAAAAGAGAGATATCACATTCACAAGAATGAAACCTACGCAAGGTGACACTGACCTTGACCTTTGGCCAACAAAATCTCTTCATCATTAAATCAAAGTGGAAGTTTGCACCAACTTTGAAGAGATTTCTTCAAGGTCTTCTTGAGACATTGCAGTCATGAGAATGAGAGGGACGCAAGGTCGAAGTGACCTTGACCTTCGATCACCAAATTCTGAACAATTCATCCTTGACTCCAGGTACACGTTTCTGCCAAATTTGAAGAATTTTACTCAAGGCCTTCTTGAGATATTGCATTCATAATTTGAGACGGACGCAAGGTCACAGTGACCTTTGTGCACTAAATTGAAATCAGTTCATTGTTGAGTTCAAGTCGACATTTGTGTCAAATCTGATGAAATTCCTCACGGGGTCCTTGAGATATCACATTCATGAGAATGAGACGGACACAAGGTCAAAGTGACCTTGACCTTTGACCACCAAAATCTGATCTCTTCATCAGTGAGTCAAAGTAGAAGTTTGTGCCAAATTTGAAGAAATTCCCTCAAGGTGTTCTTGAGATATTGCCCTCACAAGAATGAAACGGAAGGACAGACGACCTGAAAACATAATGCCTCCAGCCACAGCTATTGCCGACACAGAAGCATAAAAACAAAGTTACATTTAAAGATCTAATCAGGTGTCTCCCTCACAATTCATCTTTCTTTTTTTTCAAGCTCCTGCCTAATCCATCTCCATCCTGTTGGCAAACATGGAGCCCAACTGGAACTCTTACCTGTGACAGTTCACACCACATGCTGACACCTCCGTTGGCCACTTTACCAGACAGAATGAAGAACAGGTTGTCTGGAGTCAGTCTCAAGACACACATCTTGGTCAGCTTTGAGATGGTAGTGATGACTCCTGGTAACGACGAGGAAGAGAGAAGTTATTAACCACAGCAAACATAACTTCAGCCTGTAAAAACACATTTTATTTAAATCCAGGCTGCTTTGAACCATAAACAGAGACAGTGTCTCTGATTTGTTCTGTATCGTTATTACAGACTGTGTGCAGCTAAAGAATATCTACAGAAAAGTCAAATACAAATCAAATTTTAATACCAGGGGTGTAACGACACATTGATCTGAACAGTTACATGAGCCCCTTTTCCACTGCAGGAACTTTTTCATTTACCCGGGATTTTGAAAAACCTCCGAGCGTTTCCACCGAAATTACCTGGGTTAAAAAACTTTCCCTCAACCCCAAACTTTCCCTGAAAAAAGTACCAGAAGGGGGGTAGGACTTTTCAGATTACCCGGAATTCTTGAGGGGCGGGACTGTGCGCTGAAGAACGCTGATTGGTGGAACACACACTTGCAGCGTTGCGCACTTCCTGGCACGGGCAGCCGCTGCATACTTTATTTCATTTCTACAAAGTTTCACTACATTTGTGTTTTGATTAAGGATGGGTACCGAAATCCGGTACTAAATTAGCCCCGGGGCTAGATTATCAAGGACCGTAGTATTGATAAACACTGACGGTATTGGTTCTCCTCTGCGCTCTGTGCCGGCGCTGAACTCCTCCACACACACACACACACACACGTACATACACGCACACACACACACACACACACACACACACACACACACACACACACACACACACATACACCGATGCAACACGGTAACCGGTGAACAGCCGAGTGGCCCCGGTGGAAACAAAGTGAAGATAACTCGTAAATGACTTGAGTTGACAGCAGCTACACTCGTTACTGTATGTGACATTAAACCTTAGTGAGTAAGAACTCCACCTGCAGGTGGATCACTGACTTCCTGTCTGACAGGAGGCAGCAGCTGAAGCTGGGGAGACATGTTTCTGACACCTGGACTATCAACACTGGATCCTCCCAAGGCTGTGTTCTTTCTCCTCTGCTTTTCTCTCTGTACACCAACAGCTGCACCTCTAGTCATCAGTCCGTCAAGCTCCTGAAGTTCGCGGACGACACCACCCTCACTGGACTCATCTCTGACGGGGATGAGTCCACCTACAGGTGGGAGATTGACCAGCTGGTGACCTGGTACAGGCTGAACAATGTGATTCCCCAGTTGACACTGTGGAGTCATTCCGCTTCCTGGGGACCACCATTACCCAGGACCTAAATTGGGAGCTGAACATCAGCTCCCTTATAAAGAAAACACATCAGAGGACGTACTTCCTGCGGCAGCTGGAGAAATTCAACCTGCCAAAGACAATGATGGTGCACTTCTACTCTGCCATCACTGAGTCCATCCTCACCTCCTCCATCACCACTGCCAAGGACAAAAGCAGACTGCAGCGTATCATTCGCTCCGCCGAGAAGGTGATTGGCTGCAATCTGCCCTCCCTCCAGGACCTGTACGGCTCCATGACTCTGAGGTGTGCAGGAAAGATTGTGGCTGATCCCTCCCAGCCTGGACACAAACTCTTTGAGACTCTCCCCTCTGGCAGGAGGCTGCAGTCCATCAGGACCAAAACCTCATGCCACAAAAACAGTTTATTTCAGTCAGAGATCACTGTCTGGCCTCCTGGAGGTGTCATGGGTCCATCTAGATGAAACACTGGTGAAAGGAGGTTCCCACCCGATGACCCCAAAGACATGTTAGTTATCACTGCTCACTGGTCTGTATAGTTAAGCCTTGCCATAATAGCTTATCATAGGGCTTAGGAGGTTTTTCATTGAGTGCTGATCCTTTCTCTAGAGTGTTTATTTGAATCCATCTGTAGCTGGCCTCATCAACAGGACCAGAGACCCTCACCTACTCTGCCCCCCCACCCTCCCTGTAACACACAGTCAGACATCTCTTCATCATCTTGGTCATTCACCTGTCATACACTGCATTCTGCTGATTTTGCACATCTGTACTTTGCACAACTGTTATTTGCACACAACCCTATTCATGTTTAGAGTGTACATATTTTTTATATTCTATTATTATTGTTAATTGCATTCAGATTTTATATTTAATTGTTTATAGTATTTCCTTTTAATATGTATGCTTCTAATTACTAGGGATGGGTCACGATTTTCGAATTTCGAATAGTCATTTTTGAAAAATCGATTTTTTAATGCGACTATTACTATTCGCCGTCTTATTTCCCCCCCTTTATTTGACATGCAATTCAGCTCCTAACCGCACAAGGGCAGTCTAGGATTGCTACAGCGGTGTGAGATGGGCTACCAGCTAGTTTAATGCTCTTCTACAAACAGGAGAAACATGCAGAGACTACTACTCTGTGAGGAATGTCCGCAGTCCTGTAAAAATGTCCGTGAAAAATCCCCATGATGTGAAAAATACATGCCGAGCAGTCATTGGTGTGCGCGCACAGGGCTTGCGGACGTCCGCTTTGAGTCCGTGCAGACCTCTGCAGAGTCCGTTCCACCCGAGTATATTCGGGCCTTTAAAGATGAATGGATCTGTGTGCGTGGCTCCGTCGAATAGTTGCCATGATTTTCGAATAGTGTTTTTGCTTGTGTTGTAGGGATGTAGTCAACCCAAGAAAATCTTGGTCAACTAAGGTCGCACATAATCGTCAACTAATCAATTAGTCATGGGAAAAAAAATCTGCACGTTATTTTTACTTCTGCGGTGGTGTTTCTGTGTCACTCTGGAGTTACACCTCCAAAACACTAGTCGGCGGTGGAGGACTGTGTTAAGTGTAGGGATGCACCGAAATGAAAATTTGTGGCCGAAGCCGAAGCCAAATAATATTAAGCGCTTGGCCAAATACCGAATACCAAATATCGTTGTTTAGTTTTTCATTAGTTTTTGCAGATGAACCCCCTCCAGATTAGTGTTGTCACGGTACCAAAATTAGGACCCACTGTACGATACCAGTGAAAATATTATGGTTCTGAGTAGTATCAGGATACCACAGCGAAAATAAGGCAGATGTGCCTTTTGTCATTTATAAAAAGATAAATCACTTTTCTATAATACATCAATGATATTTCAATGGAATAAATTACTTACTGACTTATTCATACTTCAAAAACAGCATCAGTGAGTGATGAACATAGGGGGGATCAAAATAAAATAAATAAATAAAATAAAAATCAACCAGCCACCCTCCTCCCCTGACAAGTCCCTTCATAAGTAAAGAACAGTCCCTAAAGTGCGGTGAGGTTTGTGGGCCGTGAACGGCTCGTTTCTCCTCTGACACATCACGTACGGTCTGTGTTCGGCTGGCTCGGCTGTTCAGGTACTTCTGGGCAGTCCACACGCCAAGAAGAGGATATTATTGGAGCCGACTTCTCCGTCGCCCGGTAAGCCGATGGCCGCTGTAATTGACAGGAATGCATTACTGTCTGTGTCTGTGACCCCCTTCAACCCACAACCGATGGGATTCGCCTTTCTTTTCTGCTTCTGGTTGAAATCTGTAGGCTGCTCGCACAGCGTGCTGAATGATTTAAGCCTATTTTGCTCACTCAAAACTATTTTTAGTCGCAAATACGAGTGCCGTGACGGGCGGATCGCCACACTGCCGACATTTTACTCCGCCTGTCAAGGCACGCTGTTTGATTGAGTTATCAAAATACGCCGCTATTATTCGGCCTTGCTTTTAACTTATTCCACCGAATACCGAATGTGTGTTTTTTTGCAATACTCGGCCGAATATATTCGGTTACCGAATATTCGGTGCATCCCTAGTTAAGTGCTGTAAAGTTTATTTCAAATCAAACTTTATTTATATTGTTGATTCAAAACACACATTAAATATGGCTTAATAGAGACAATTTCAAACACAGGTATGCAAATCAGCTTCACTATAAATCGTAGAACTGAACGACAAACTCTCTTTATCTGGACACATTTCCCCCACCAATAAAACATGCTAACGTTATTAGCACAAGTCTATGGCATTTTACATTGTATAAACTAGCCTAGCATCTAGCGATCTTTTCCTCTTCTCATATAAAACCAGGGACAACAGCAACATGTAACAAAGGTAACGGCACATAATTTGGCTCCATTACAACTCACAACATTCACCGACAAAACAACTGTCTTATACTAACCCTGTATCGCCAAGTGTATCATATTTGATACATGAGTTTTTGAGACCTCTACATCATCAGTGTGATATTTTTTTCCTGAAAAACCTGATGTATACAATCAGATACATGCAGTGCTTGGGCAATCCACCAGGGATCAGTAATTGATGCACCAGAGGTCCTCCAATTGAGACATCCAAAATGGCTGCTGTCAATCAGTGACCCACACATGATTTTTCAAGGATATTTTTGCCAATTTTGAAGAAGTTCAGGTAAGAAAAACTTGCAAATCGTTACTGAAACTTCAATGGGAACATTTGATGGATTGATGCAATGTAAAATTACTTAATATTTCATAACTTAATTTACAGTAAAACCGTGTTGAAAAAGTGTGTATCAAAATCGATACAGCAGGTATATAAGGTAATTTATTTGCAAATCTGTCAGTTGTCATTTTATTGCATTTCATGCATTATGCATTCAATAAAGCAACATACAGTCTTTTTTCTTATTTAAGTGAACTAATTAGAGGTTTAACTGACATAATTAGGTTTATTTAGTGTAGAAATTGAGATATTAACCTATATTGTATATGCTATTGTATATACCTGCTGTATCATGATGATTGATAAGTAGTCGAATGTTACTATGGCTCCCTTGCTAATAATTGTCTTTTGTTCACTGATTTCTACTAAAACTGAACAATTCAGAGAAAAAATACACAATAATTTGTGTTTTGGTGCATATTTTTAGATGGCAAATAAATGGAGTGTTGAAGATGTGTTGAAGATGATTATGGATGGGAATTCAAGTGACATGGAACAGTTAGAGGAAGATGATGATGAGGACGAGGATGAGGAATGGACTCCTACTGCAATGTGTACTGAGGAAAACTCAAATAGTAGTGATGAGGAGGATTTACAAGATGAAAGCATGGACCAGACAAGTGCAGAAGTCGAGGACCCAACACTAACACAGGACACAGCAGCAAAGCAGTTTGCAAGAGGCAAAGTGAAAAGGAAAGAGTATCAGTGGAAGAAGAAAAAGTTTGAACCTCCAGATGTTGAATTTGATGAATGTGTTGAGGAAGACTCAGAAGATAGGCTTGACTGGACACCATACATGTATTTCAAAGATTTTGTGACTGACGAAATGCTACAGGAAATTGCAGAACAAACAAACCTGTACAGTGTGCAGAAAGAAGGAAAGTCAGTGAACACAACTGCTAAAGAGATGGAGCAAGTTCTGGGTATGTACATGCACATGGGTTTAGTACAGATGCCCAATGTACGAGCCTACTGGGAGATGGAGACAAAGCACTCCGCAGTTTGTGACGTGATGTCTTGAGATCGATTCCTGAAATTGCTGACACTGATTCACTTTCAGGACAACCTCAAGGTGTCTGATGATGCAAAGAAAGATAAAATTTGGAAACTCAGGCCATGGTTACAAAAACTGCGCCAACAATTTCTTTGTGTACCTCCTGAAGAATGTCATGCTGTTGACGAAATCATGGTGCCTTTCAAGGGAAAATCACATCTACGCATCTACATGCCAGCAAAACCTCACAAGTGGGGGTTCAAGATGTGGGGACGTGCAGGACACGATATATATA